GCTAGGGTCATGGACCTTTAGTAAGAGTTAGTTACCGAGAACGGAGGCATTACGCTATATACAGCCCGAGGGCCGCAGGCCCGAGGGCTGTATATAGCGTAATGCCGACGTGCGAGGTAACTAACAAACTTAGTTTTCAATTCACGTGGTTTTCGCAAAGACTGAAAGACTAAATGAATGTTTTCTTAGTTGGGATTCGAACAATAGAATCCTCTCGAGACCTTTTCATGGACTGTTGAAATTAGTTTCCTTTAAGAAAACCTGTTCATGCGAAAGCGAGCTATCCAATTTTGAATATTGTTATCAAATATTCTTAACAGTCATTCTGGAAACGATGTCGAACAGTGACGACGATTTGTGTATAGCTCAAAATACGTTTGACATCATTCCTTTGCCGAACTTTGATATTGACNACATGTCAACAAATAATAATAATGGCAAAATTAATTCAATAATTATACAAAGATAAAAACTCCACAAGTAAATTAAGGTTAATATTTATTGCACTTAGTCTATGCCTGCTATGCAAAGTAGTGTTTTCGTTCTCTTAGCCGTATTTGATGCACTGCAAATGTAATAGAGCCTTACCAAAGAAACTACGAAAGTGTACAAACTTTATCGATATAACTATCGGCCTCCAATTTCGAGTTTCTGTTTTGATCTGTGTTAGTCTCAAAACCATGCAAGTAACATATTCTTTTGTTTCATTGATAGTTCGAGAAAACGCATGGAATTTGAAACGAAAGACAATAAAATTGATTTGAAATGTCACACTTTTATTCTCACAATTAGGAATCTTTTGTGCACAAATGAGGCAAACACAGAACATTGGGGAATTCGAAACTGGAGTATTTACGCCGAATATTGTTCTTTCGGATTCACTACAGTACTAGATTTTTATCAACAAGAACCCCGAGTTCACGCAGCTATGCGTCTAGTTATACTGAAAATGTCAATGAAAGTCTGCCAAAGAATGACATGAGCAATCATCTCACTGCGTATAATTTATGTAAATGTTCTCGACATTCCAATTGCTCAACATCGAGTTATTTATTATATTCTGGGTCGCTGTGTTTACAAAGCCAACGACTGGGAAGACCAAAGGTGGTGGACAACTGATTGCGTTAGCAATCGAAGAGTTATTTTAGATGAACAATCTGTCACTCACTCAGTCACTCAGTCAGTCACTCACTTTCCTGTAAACTGCCCTTGTTGCTATAGTAACTATGAGGTAATATTTATTTTTGTCATCACGGTCTTCCTATGCTTTTTTCTGTAATTAGCTATGCAAAGTGAATTCATATTCCTGTGGTCCCGCTGAATTGCTTTCCGCAAACATCGCCTTATATTCCAGCGCCTTAATCGATTTTGTCACGGTGGCACTTTGTTTGGTTTTTAAGAAATTCTTTTCGGTTTTTCGATCGGTAAATAAAATCAGGTTTACCATGATGGGTTTCCTCTGTTATATGCTGTGGATTGAATCGATATTTACTGAAAACAACTGACCCATCGAAAACAACTGACCCATCGTTAAAAACCTGGATTCAAGACTGAGGAGAAAATTGGAAAAATTATATTGTTTGGCGTATAATTGTACCGATTGCAATAAGTTTTGACTGTGTTTTCGCTTTGAGAACGTGTGACAACCGAGTCTTCGACAAAGATGGCAGATTCAAAATGAAGTTTGGAGGGCCTGGTATAGAGGCGGGACGTTTTCAAAACCCTTACTCTGTGGTAATAGATGACGATAAAAAGCTAGTCATCAGCGATGTCGATAACCAAAGGG